GTTTTTACTTTATACAGTTTCTTAGTATTTTCTGATTATAAACAATGAAAAAGATTTGAGTAACAATGAGATATCTTGGAATATAGATGGATTTTATCGCAGTCGTTTCGCGAATATCCTCAGCATTTCCGATATTCAATCTCACTGCAAAGAGAAATTTTGTCACTCGACAGGTGGAAACACTCTCAAAACCATTCTGAAGTGCGACGGAAAATGATACGCCTGGTCGTGCCTGTCGATGCCTCGTGAAAGAGAGTGAACGACACACCGCGATTCTTCTCACATCCTTTATCCCTATCGCACTTTGGGTGCCAAAGAGAAGCAGCTTTGCACGCCAACTAACAGCGTAGCTGCGTGCATGAACTGCTATTGAAGCACGAGAGAGATATAATGCTCGCCACTTAGGCGAAGTTGCCTTGCGGCCAGACAGTCGAAAGGGTGTCTGGTGTCTCGAGAGCTCTTCTCTCAGACGCATAGCATCGTGCAGATACACCCTCGCATCCTCGATTTACTAAAAAAGAAAAATCTCGCGGTTTTCCGTGCACTTATGCATATGCATGTGTAAGTGCATTGCGGTACTCGTCTATCGACGCACATCGCGATATTAGGGAATCTGTTGCAAATGAAACTCGGACAATAACGGCATTCCACACTGAACCAAAACTGTACGTAAATACAATAAAATATTCATTGAATTATGAAAAAATAATGAAAATTGGTCCAATGAATTCTCATCATGATTTAGATTATAAAACTATTACTAGAATTCATTGCAAAAATGAATATATAATTATATAAATGAATCCAGTTATTGTATCAATGAATTAACTACATTAAATCGGACATTAATTAACGATCATTCATTGGACCAAAAATGACTAAAATTTTTTTAGTGCATATACAAAGTTACGTTTAGAAATGCAAATGTAATTGTGTATTAACAAACACATGAGTTTATATCATATCTATAATATGTATATTATTATACTTACATATAAATAAATATACTTTTTAGTTTATGTCAGATGTAAAAACACGATCGATAGACTATCGTGAATCTCATACACATGATACATACGTACATAGTATAAGATATTTTATTGCAAAAACGGAAGCGAAACACGAAAACGAATACTTGTGACCGTGGCGGCACGTATTTCATAGTGTATCCGCTCGTAAAACCCTCGAAAACTAATTTGAAAAGTGTTCCGGCCTTTTTCAATACTCCAACTTTTATGCGCCTGGCTTAAATATGTAATAAAGGCACGTATATACTTTCACTTTAGCGACCCCGTAAATCCAACGATCGTTATGCACCACCCATCGCCGAAAGTACATTATCCTTAAATAGGAAGACGAGGGACTTCAATCCACTGTATCTTACCCGTCTCAAGATCACATCATTGATGGAACTACTATTAAGGGTACGCACTCGAGACGTCCAAGGTTGAAAAGCACCGGTGGATTACTTATGCGAAATACGCGAAGATTCTACGGACTGCGCTGATCCCTCTATTGAAGGACATCGGAATACAATCTCTTATACTCACTTTCTAAAAAGTAACCGAAGGCTTTCACTAAACTAACAAAGAAGAGAGAGAGATAGGAATAGTATCTTCTTGATCTCTTCAGCTGTCCCAACGATTCTAATCCTGAGATTATCTTAGAGGGGTGCAAAATGTTCTATCGGATTTGTAAATATTATACGTGCTAGGGGTGGAAATGAATGATATCCAACTTTTTGGAATGACGGAGGAAACGAAAATAGAAATTTTTTAGATAAGGCATCTCGCTAGCTTTATTTGAAAGTTCGTCAGTGTCATGCGTTTTCAACCTGTGATATGAGGGAAGGGACGATATGTGAAGGAAGGGAGAGAGCGAGGAGCAGGCTGGAAATAGCGACGGCAACAGGGAGAGTCCGGAATTTCGCAAAATTTAAGCCTGCCGACATCCATCACTGCGCGCGACAGTCCTCCCGTCGCTCCAACGTCAGCCCGCGTCGCTCTTTTTGGGTCTGCCAGAGCGCACGAGTCGGTACATGCATGCATACGTGAAGCCGCAATAGCTGTAACACGACGTAAAATCCGTCGCTCGTCGTATGGAAAATCGTGGCGCGAAGTGATGGCGACAATATCGTTCGATCTTAAGCGGTAAACAGCTAGCGACATGGATACGTTATTATCCTCAGTTCGTATTACATTCTGCATTTAAATTTTGCATTATTATCTTTCGGTCTCAATCGGTTTTTAAAATAGAATATACTACATACATATTATTCTTCTGTTAGATGTCAAAGGAGAAATGGTAACCCAATCTCTTGAGTAAAGTAACATTTTGTTAGGTTTAACTTCCATCTGTGATAAAATGTAAATCAATCCATTTCCGTTGTTAGTTTCAAAGTAAACATCGTCCACATTAATGTATGCATTTAGTAAGTAATAAACTAAATTTGAGTGAAATTTAATACATTTTCTTGAGTTAAATCATTTGATTCTATTGTTTTAGTCAAATTAAACATATCAGATATAGAAATTAATGATTAAAAATCGAGTATAATTTGACATTATGAATTTAACAGTGTTGTCTTCCATTTTTGTCTTCCACCATGGATTTTGGTAAATCAAGGAGCGTATCTTCATTGTTTTAATGAATGGAAAGACGATACGAGAGTACACAAAGCTTCGTTGGGAAAGAGATACACGCCACTCACCATAAAGCCTATTACGTTCCTTTACAAATATAGCTACTGCGGGCAGGTCGATTGCAACTGACAGTCAAATTACAAAAGCGCGTATTACATTTTACGCTGGCTTTCAACCTGATACGCACCGTCGGATTATACCGACGCAAATAATGGAAAATTGTAACATTCGTGGAAAAAATGTATTTTGCCGCATGCCAGAACCACACTAAAACTCGTCGCTAAAATGGAGTACTCGATGTACACTGTCTAAATATACATTTTTTTTACAAATTTTTCGTACGCATCTCGCTCATTATTAATCACTTCGATCATGTAGAAACGAGATTATTACACGAGATGTTACAAAATTTCTTGAAAATTTAAGTTCGACAATTTATTTTTTTTTTTTTAGCAGGAGAAACCATTTCATTGTAGATTTACAGATTCAGAAATCGTGTGATAAAGCGAGAGAGGGATAGTGAAACGGATAGCACGGTAGAAATAACGCGCGCGCGACATGCGTCGCGCATCAAACCCATTCGCTCCGTTGTTTCCGAAAACCTCCAAATAACCAAAACTTTGGACGTCAGGATCATGGCAACTAACCTCGCTAAATTCAAAATTTACTAGTATATATACTCCAATTCTGTAAATTTGCATTTCAATGGCCCACTTGCCAGTGAACGAGATTCCATTTACCACGTAAGAGAGAACAATATAATTTCACAGTATAATACGGCAATAATGAGCAGCATAATACAATAATGTATGGCAATCACTACTTAATTTAGCGTATATGACAATTACTACTTAATTATCGTTTAAGCATGAGTTTAAGTCGACATGCAATTTCACAATTCCGCGCCTCTATCATCACTCTAAGTTATTATTCTTTCGCACTACATCCAGTCTATATTACAGATTTTGCAAATAATTATCGCTCTGATCGTCCAACCGTCAATTACTGCGTAACAATTCAATATTATAATTATGTAATTCAATATTATAATCATAATCCACTTGTTCGTCGATTTTGGAGGCACCATGCTGAGCAGCTCATTCGACCAGAAATCCCGATGGCCGAGCTACCGGTGGATCTGTCGCACGATGGAAACAAGAGTCGCAGATACAAAAATAGTCCACTTTTATATTCTGGTGTAACATATAACGTCCGCGATTTCATATCGCAAGAAGACAACGAGTCACTGGATAAAAGTTATGGAGACGGTTCTTCGAATGAAATATGCTCTTTTAAATTGGATCAAGGAAAGATTGATGAGCTCGCGAACGATTACTCTGAAACGTGCGTATCTTCCAGCCGCGAAAACGCGATACAAAAGGAATCTTGCAAGGAAACGGTCAAAAATGATAGAACTCCCTCAAGGAACGAAGATGAATGCAAATCGAATCGTAAGAGAAAAACACGTCGCAAGATGCCCGATGGTGTGATCATTGATCTTAGCAATGATGTGTATGGCACTTCCCGCGGCGGCATAAAAATCAGCATTATTTCCACGCACAATTTAGTACCCGAAATGAAATTTGTCGCAGTACCAAAGTATGAATTTTTTTTGCAATCAACAAAAGTAGATATTTAAAGATTTTTTTAATTCTTTAAAAACATCATGTACGTAAATCTTTTTCAGGAAGCAATATTCAATGTGGAATCGCAGTTCGAGAAAAATGATGGAGAAAATGATCGACAATTCTATACTGACCGTGCTTTGTGCCAAAGACGGCAACAAAGTGAAGAAAACTCGGAGAATAACAAAACGCAAATGTAGAAATTATTCGAGAAAGTCAATGAATAACATATTACATAAAAATGCCAATACGACTGTCAATGCACCAAAAAAATTCAAAAATTCATTAGATAAACAACAAAAGTTACATGTGGAAAATAATATGCAGTCGCTTTGTACGCCTTATGAAATTTTTGATTTGATGCAATGCTGTCATCACGATAACACGATGGTTGATATTGATAACGTACGATATCCGATATTGAACACAGACGAAACATGTGTCGACACAGGGAAATGTACCACGAACTACTGCTGTTCAATTTTTAACGACACACATCAAGAATATCACATTTGTGATCGGAAGGATTATAATACAGATGGTTCTGATTTCAATGCCGAGATGCAAACTGATTGGATGGCCGAGTGCTTTTATCCTGAATATACCTGCACGAAGAGATGCCGATGTTTCTACGACTCAAACGAGTGCGATTCCAACATAAATATGCAACGCGACCGTTGTCTCCTGATGTCGCGAACGGCAAAACTGTTCGAAAATTCTGCTCTTCCGACGATTCGGATCGGATATCGCGCCTGAATTCACAACAGAAGCCGATGAATATTCTCCAGATGGAGTCGTACGGTGCACGAATTGCGATGGAGAGAAAGGGAGTTCGACGAGCACAATCCGGAAACTCGCCGAGCCTAGCGGAAGCGTTACCGATCTTCACGATTCACGTCCCGTGGATGCATCGCTATGTGAAATAAATACACGTCCTGGAAAGAGCGGATGGTGGACGACGACGATGGTGAAGAGAGACGGCGATCGGTCATATAAATCAGATTCGCTGAAAGCCGCCGACACGTGGGATACAGGCGCGTGGAGAGACAACTGTATCGGACGGCGTTGCCCAGACTGCGTTGTCGCGAAATCGTCGCGTTCAAACCAGCATCCCGGGAAAAAAGGCGGATCCGTCCGCGGAGTGGATTCGAAGTGGAAACGGGGTTCCATTGAAACTGACGTTCAACAATTGGATTACAAATGGAAGAGAAGAATCGCGACCGTAGATGCTGGTACACGCGCGAGGGTGGATTTCAAAGGAAAACGTGATTCCAGGTGAGAGTCGATTTGAATGAGATATGGCTGCATGATAAAGGAACCGCGCCGCTTTTCTTCTCTCTCTTTCTCTGTTTCTCTCACCGAGTTTCTCTTACCTAACGTCGACTATGTCCAACAGATATAAAAAAGAGCCTAGAAATGGTCGAAGCAACGTTAGTCCCCGCCTGATTTTGGCATTACAGCATACATCTATTTCCGATAAATAGAATTCTCTACTTTTCTCTCGTTCTGTACATTGCTTTCAAAATTGCTCTCATTTTTTGGAGTCCTTCTAACTATTTTTATTTTATATAACATTTATATATTCATTATACACTTTCATTATTATTTTTTTACATGAAATAATCAGAATTTAATGAAACTGTTTTTCTTTAATCTTATTCTTTTTATTAATTTTATTAATTTAATTTTTTTCTTAATTTTTGTTAATTTAAGCTTATTTTTTTTCCTGATCTGATTTGCTTCGCGAATCTGAAAACTCTCTGAAACCATTAAAATATTTTCAAAACTAATACAATAAAGATATTTATATATGAACTTCCTTTATTTAGTAAAATTTAAAAGAAAAATCGACTTTACTAATTAAAAAATCTGAGAAAAAAGTGCAACATAAATCTCTTAAATTCTATATGCAGCAAACTCAAATTACATAATTTAAAAAATGTATGCTAACGTTTTGCAAATAAAATAAAATGATAATATTAATGATTCCAAGAATAAATCTTTTATTATATATAATATATAATTTCAGTTTGTGCTACATATAGAGTTTAACATATTTATGTTGCATTTCTTTCTCAGATTCTTTAATTAATTCAAAATTGATTCTTCTTTTAAATTGAACTAATAAAAAGTACGTGTTAAAAGCTTGTTGTAACGAATGTTTCACAGGTCACAAACGAAGAGTGACAATATAAACGCAGACGGCAAACATCACGAGACGCGCGATTACTCTCTTTGGACGAGTTTACAGATGGGCAAAATTTGGTCGCAAGTGCACGACGCGTGCAAGAACGTCGTAAAGCTCGCTGCTACGAGCGTCGGCCGTGTTGTGAAGGATGCACCTAAATCGGAACGTTCACAGAAAAATCCCGTCGAAGTGGCTGACGCGACGCTCGTCGAGAGCACGTCCTCGTGCGCCGGCAAAATATGCGGTGAAACGTGTCGTAAAAATTTAATGCGCTCCAAGAGCGAGGAAAAAACGGAGGCGCGTCAAGAACGTACAATCGGGGACGTGGGAAAATATCACGGGGATACAGAAGTACCGATGCGGAAAAATTCGCGGACCATTGCACCTTCTCGCCGCGATGTGCAGAAGCACACGAATCAAAGCGCCAAAAAAGAGGAGGACGGAGAATCTTGTGTGAATTACAGCGGTACGATTAATAGTGATCAATCCTCTACGCATCTACCTGTTGCATTGACAGAGTCATCGAAATTTGTGACTTATATTCAAACAAATAACACGCAGTATATTTGAATCAACTTAGAAAATATATGTAACGTTTTTTTTTTTTTAAGAAAATATTTTTTTATATAAACGATAACGCAACAACGAACATTCGTTTTTTTTTATCTTTCACTGCTTTTCAATTTTGTCGGGTTTTCGATTTTTTTCTGTCGTCTCTTTGTACCTGCATCTCTCCGAATATGTGAACTATAAATATTGCGCTGTAACAAAAAATGTATTTTTTTTATTTCGGCTAAATGAAATCGAAAAATGATAGAAAAATTTTTTAATTTTAAATAAATACAAATTTCTGCAGATTTGCGTTACTATTGAACGCAAATTAAAATCTTTCATTATAATTCCAGGATAATCTTTTTCTTTGAAAATTTCCAAATTTATATACATTAAAGACAAAGGATGTTTATATTCAAATTTTACATTAGCCTTTACCCACACGAGAATTTGCATTTAAATACGAATGCTTGTACAATATTCAATATCATAAAATATTCTCTCGTTTCCCGCGTATATAAATTTCTCGCCTTTGATACGGAAATAATAATTGCTCTTCTAGAATATGAACATGGCAGGTATCGGGATATCGTAGAATTTCAACCACGGAATGAAACGTACAGCCATGATGAGGATATACATTCTCAATCCCGTTTGAATGAGTCTTTCATGTATCATGAAAAATTTACGTACCCAGGACTTCGCAATAGAGGTGGTAGCGATGATAACCGAAATTTTGCAAGGGGCACCGTAGACGATCGATCTATGCAACGTACTTCCGAAGAAATAAAATCTGTTAAATGTTATGAAAATTCTCAAACATGCATATGTAACAATAGGAGGTCTCAAGAGACGCACGTTTATTGTTACGAAGTATCTGTAACTACTGATAATCAAGCGATTCGCGCAGACATGCCGGTTACCTCGCAAAATAATTCGCTGCATCATGAGTCTCAATCGATGAACGTATCCTCTTCTAAAGATAACAAACGAGTAGAAACATCTGCGACGTCTGAACAAACACGATCTTATGAAGAAACATGCGAGGGAACATGCGAAGAAACGTGCGAGAGTATTGAGGGCTCGATCGCGGAAACCGAAAGGAGCTTCATATCGACGATCGCAGTTGCAGCAGTATCCTTGACGGAAGCGGATCTCACGGTTCACTCATTGCGGAACGACTTGGACGAACCGATAGCGTCGACTTCCAAATGGGAGACGTCACCTGTTTCACCGGCAATATCGCGAAGAAAACGTCCCGGTTTCAAATCGCCGTTCTGTGCGACGGCGATGAAATTCTTGAGAAGGCGATCGTCCGTCGATAATAAAACCATCGTGCCTGTGCTTAAACGGAGTAGAAGGGGCATCGGAAGAAAGGAGCTATCAAGTACGGCCACTACTACTTACGATAACAGAGTGAAGATTATGCAAATAGATCCGTCTACTATGCAAACCGATCGAGAAGGCAATAAGAGGCGAGCCTACGTAAACGTTCAAGTGCAAACACCTGACGCGATTGTTACGAGAATTTTATCGGAGTTCCTTCTCAGTGGCGAGAAGAAGAAGAAGGTGTTGATGACCATAATGCTACAATCGGAATCGGACGATAGAAAAGAAGCAGAAACGCAAACGTCATCAAGTAACATAACTTCCAGCGGGATCCACATGTTTAGTTATCCGGACAATCGTCCCCACGATGCGATTACAACCCCGTCGAAGACTGTACAATGTTTCGTATGCGATAAGCAAGAGTGTTACGAAATGAGACGGTCGGATAACTCGATTACTTTAGAAGAGGCGATAATCGCAGAATATCCGGAAACGTCCGAATTGAACGATTATTTGGCGAAACGAAAAGGAGACGTAACAATTCCTCCATGATTTACGCTCAGGAAATTCTCTCGATACAGCAATTTATATAAATATAAATGTATCTGTCATAATGTAAATAATAATTTTATTATTGCAGTAATATTGAAATTTGCGTTTGTCAAATTTTTGCGTAGATTAATCGAACCACTTCGAGATATCGAGAAAAATTCAGAGTTTCGATTAATTTAATTAAATCTTAGTAACCTCACATTTACACATGTACTGATTTATGTGTCTATTTTTGGCTATTGCATATCAAAAATGTACTCAACGTGTCCACATCCTGCCGAAATTTATATCCAAATTGAAATTTTAATTATGCATAGCGCAATGGAAACAAATAAGTTAATTATGAATCTCTTCTGAAAATTATAAAGTTTAAACGAAGTTGTGCATTGCAAAATAATTTTCTTATTCAACATGAGGCAAAATTACAATTTAGCCTATTCAATATTAGCATATTTAATTAATCATATTTAATCATATTAATGGGGTCGAACTATATTCTATAATATTATTATTCATATCAAACATATTGAGCACATCAAACATGGCACGTGAAAAAATCGGTGATTCTGACATAAATTGTCAGATTGAACAAACAGATTGTCTCGATACTCCAAATGCAACTAATGGAGATTCGTCAACACCAGAAAGTCACAAGTTCTTCCGTAGGATATTGAAGTATTTCACGCGGCCCACTGCACGAATAAAACAAAGCAAAAAAAAAAAATGTGATATAAAGAAGCGAAGTGTCAGTACGAGTAAATCTGAAGAAAAAATATCTGTATATACTTCATTATCATCGATCATAGACAATGTAATTAAACCCGATGCAGTTGTCGTTAAGCTGAAGCGAAAAATGGTCGATGCAATCACCTCCACTACACGAGCAAGTAATGTTCTTGATAAAGTAACACATGAAAATCTTTCAGACACCATAGAGCATTTTGTTCACGGCACATCTTATCGATATGCGGAATACGCAGCGAAAGACGTGGATAAAGTCGTTTCGGAACGTAGCTGCGGTCCGCAATGCATTGGCAGAGGGACTCAAAGTGTTACCGTGGATAGAGAATTCAGTTTGGAGACAAGCCCTGACACTTTCGCAGAAGCATGTGAAAAGAGGCGGCACGCGGATTTTATTCTCGAGGAAATTGCAAAAGTCTCTGACGCTTTAACGCAAAAAGCACGTCTCGCTTCTGCCAAAGAACAAGCGGCTTCAATCCTCGAATCCATATCTATGACGCCTACAAAATACGAGATGGAAGAGCAAACATTTGAGAGCACGAAACCATTAATATCTTCGATTACCAATGCGGAAGAAAAACCAATTGTTGTAGTAAAAGAAAGTCCAATTGTTATAGTGGAAGAAAAATCATCTGTTATACTAGAAAATAAATCATCTGTTGTAGTGCAAAAAAAACCATCTCTTGTAGTGGAAGAAAAACCATCTGTTGTAGTAGAAAAAAAACCATCTGTTGTCGTAGAAAAAAAACCATCTGTTGTAGAAAAAAAACCATCTCTTGTAGTGGAAGAAAAACCAACTGCTGTAGAAGTAGCTACAGCAGTTGCTTCAACGGCAACACAACCAGAGATACAACACAAGAAAATATTGGAATCTCCTCCAAACCATTTTAGACTGAATTCACAAGATTTTTCGGTAAACTTACAATTAAATAAATTAGATAAATCTCTGAACGCTTTGGATGTCCAAGTAAAACCACCGATAGAAGACCTAAGGAAGAGGTCTGAACTTACGCGTACAGTATCGGTCACGTTTCCGGAAAGAGATGATCTTCGAGATACCACAGCTCCTGTTGTTGCTAGAAAAAAGAAAGAAGAAAAGGAAGAATTATCGAAGAAAAGTTCTCTACGACGAATGTTAGACAAACATATTTTCACTGACAAGACATATGATGAAAATTGTGTGATGATAAATTGTATTCCGAAGCTAAAAAAGAAAAGGCCCAAATCTTTAGAGCAGTCAGGCGAATATCTAAATAATATTGACACTTTAAGACAAAAAGATACATTGACTCAGACTGATTCAAGAAAAAAAGTTGTAAAAAAAGTCGATTCCTCTATCAAACCTTTGAAGAAAAAAGAATTAGCCCAAAAAATAACCAAAGGTATTTCCAAAGAATCTGTGCCATATAAAAAATCAAAATATCGAGTCAAATATCGCATTGATACGGAGAAAAAAGAAAAAAAGCCGCAGTTGAAAAAAGTACCCAAAGATGAAATCTTGAAACACGAGTATGTCGTTAGGATGCCTGAAGTGACAAGAACTTCTAAAATTTTTCAATATTCCGTAAGACCAACAATGAAAATGTATCAAAATTGTCGTAGAACGCCGTCAGGATATATAGAACCAACAAGATATTGCAAGGATTTATCGAGCATCTGTCTTAGAAGACCCAAATATTACGATGTTTGGACTACTCCATGCCTTACCTCTGAAGATCTAACCTCTGTAAACTACGTTCTCCCGCAAAATTCATGCGCAATCAAACATCATGCCAGCTGTCATTCACTAATTGACAGCTCCAGATGTAACATTGAAAATTCGTTATGCACCAATACGTATTGCAAGAACGACGCGAAATATTGTTATCCGCATCTAAATAATATTGACAACGTTCAAATGAGATATTATCATTGCAATGACATTTGTCCAGTATTGAACAATAATCAACAGTGTGGGATGGATCGATCATATTACTGGACAAAGGGGAATTTATATTTCGCGCACTCATGGACATCGGAGCATTTGTTGTGATATAATTGATATTGACAATGGCAACATACGATATTTAACGTCACCGAGTAATTCGAATTCAATCATATCGGAAATATATATAAAATTAACGTGTCGCTTTTTATTGCTTATGTATAATTTTTTTATGAGATTTACGATACAGAGTGGGATGGTGAGGACCGAGCAAATTAAAATAGATAAATATACGACGTAATCTGTACTGCGGCCAGTGACGTGCGTCAATTCTAATTATATTTCACACTACATACTAATTTTAGTTATTAACCCGTATGTGCGAGTAGTCATAAAGTTTTGCGTCCTGTCCAACGCGTATGCATATTAATAATTAAAATTAATAACGCGCCAAATATAGTTGCGATATACGTATGACAGTCGACGCACTGAGGCCAGACGACAAGAGAACGTATCATATGATATTATATTAATGCGAACAGAGTGATTATATGTTTGCATAGCAGTTTATATTACTCATTATGACGACCAGTTTACGATTATTCACCAATAATAACAAACAGTTCGAACCTGCATTTCGAAAAACGACAAAAATCAAAAAAATATTTCTGCATTACAAAAACACGCTTATTACGGAAAAATTGCCAGTCACAAGAGGACCGAGATCGTTTGAGCGTTTTTTTGTGCTTGAGAAGCTCCTTAGCTGTTTAGGAAATATCCACGGACAGGAAGAAACCACCGCAGACGCGAGAGACCGTTACCGTCTTCGCAAGAAACGCCAAACAGTGTCGAAAAGAGCTTGCGGGCAACCGAAGAACTTTGCATCAACGGGTCCCGGCGGGGACGTTGTCGTATCCTTAAGCGGCCTTCGCGGTTGGCGATTGCGGCGGAAGGAATTTCGCAGAAGTTCGTTGTGAAGTTCCTTGGAAGTCCACCTGCCGAATGCAACGACCGAAAACCTAGTCTGGAAAGCGAAAGCATATATATCTCGTTACCTATTCACGCGCGGTCCGGAAGGTACGTACTAATTTGTTCGTTTTTTCAATAAAAATTAATTTTATGATGAAAAGTAGTGGAAAATAAATAACTGAGAAATTTTTAATTAGATTGCAAATAAAAAATAGTCAAGATAATAAAATAAGGGTGACAATCGAAAGGGTGACAACTTTATTTATTTTCAAATAAATTAATAAAAAGGGGAGGAAATAAAGAATAATAAATTATTATATACGTTTCGACTTCCACCCTGTCTTCCACACTGTCTTCTTCAACATATCAACAATTTCAGCATGGGAAGTAGAGAAATGATTATGAAAAAATTAATAATTAGAATTGAGAGTACAAAGCATAATATAGTGATACATAAAATAATAAATCATCTATTTAAGAATAAATAAAGTTGTCACTTTTGCAACCTTATTTTATTCATCTTGACAATTTTTTATTCTTATTTACATTTGCATTTATCAAACTTGATTTTTTGTTGTTTTCAATTAGAAGTTTATTGTTCAAGAATTACAGCGACAGACTGATGTCTGATTGTATTTTATAATTGTAATGTCTAATTATTCATTTATTCCGATAGATTTGCCATACGGTCAACTATTCTAAGTGTGTAGCGTATGAGAAAACGATTTGAAAGGATCTCGCATCTTAACCAGTCAAGCTCGAAGTACGTCAAGACGAAAACTTCGTCGAGGTTCATGGCGATCTATTGAGCAAACTCTCTGATGACCAATATAAGAGAAGAGTCAAAACCACTCAATGAACAAGTTCTAGAACCATAAGGGTAGTGTTATGACATGCTTGTCGTTGTCATAAGCGTTACGGTCACAAACAGGTAGCTTTATGCAGTGGCAAGACTTAACGTCAACCTAGTGGATACATTAGACAGGTGGCGTCGGAAGATTTACTGTTCAACTTCGACATCATACAGTACGAAACTTCCGCCCGCGAGGCGAAGGAAGTACGATATCCTTCGACAGAACGACGCGCCACGCCACCTTTCACGCTAAGTACTGCATTCGAGAACGCTGATGTCGACGACGACAGTGGAGGTTGCCGGAACGGAGTTGCTCTACAGACGACGATAATGACAAGGCAGAGGGCGAGGGACTGGCAGGGTTGCAACCACGTTGAATCGCACGAAGTAACAGCGAGGAAACTTCGTAACGTCAGACTTCGCGACGACCATGAAGGCACACTTCCCCGATAGGAGATCCCGCTGTAGAAGAGTCGAGGAGGGTGCGAAGGGTCTCATAATGCTCCTCGACGTCTCTATCCGTCGCCTTATCACGCTAAGTTGATTAAACACAGGCGACAACACGCGTCTCCTTCCGCCCGCAACCCCCGTTGTTGTCGTGCCTGTGTACCATGTCCCGTCGTCCAGCTTGCAACCCGGCCGTGGCATCCACCTCTGGTCTGACCCACCTCCGTGCAATCTGCCGCCGTGTAATCCGCCGGCGTGTAAACCACCCTCGTGTAAACTGTCCCCGTGTAAATCACTGCCGTGTCCAACGGCCTGTCCGCTGCCGCCGTTGTACGACACGTCTCCGTGTTCAACGTCTTTAGACCGTCCAATTTCAACCAAGAACCAGCCCCATGTTCCAGGCAACTCCGTGTTCGATAGTCTCATGCTATTCGCGTGAAACACGCGCGACTCGCGATGAAAGACGAGACTACGCCAATGACGATGAAAGGGCTGCTTGTTAATTTGGTTAAATGTAGATTGTTGCTGCAAAGAGATCTTCCTTGCAAGTGAGTTATATGATTTAACAATCTCATTCTAACAATATACAATGCCTTACAACTGTTTACAGCATAGTTACGATATAGCTTTGTTTCGATTTTGATTAAACGTTTATAGTAGATAATGTTACATTTGAAATTATATTTCTTTGTTCTCAGTCGCATTAATTTCAATATTTTAATTGTGCTATTTTATGCTAAATTTTATTGAGTAATTATCTCTCTCGGATATTGTCCCAGAATAAATTTCTCTGTTTATCTATTTATCTCTTTACGCAATATGCGCGTGCAAAAATGTTAGTATCACGTAATATACGCTTAAATTTTGCTAATAGTACATTGAATGTAAATGCTTGACCTGCAAAAGTCTTGAGGATGTCGCGGTCAATTGTGTGGAAAGACCGATATATAGTTGCGCAAGTTTCGGTAGCGGAACGAGCTGCTTGCTGAGAAACATCGGTTTGAGATGCTGCGGCGTTGGAAATTCGAGCTGCGGAGGATGTTACTAATGATTCATCGCTTTAAAGATTCCACGCTCGTTGCACATTCAAGAAATTAATAAATAAAACAGTTTCCCTGATGCAATTAAGTGAATTTATCGCTTCTAGAAACGCACAATTTACTTGATTAAACAGGATGCTTAATTTTTGCTTGTTTGCTATAAACATAAATCGTCGATGGTTTCTTAATTCTTCGCCAAGTGGGACTTTGAAAACACAATTGATATTTTGATTATAAATTCTGGTAGGTAAATTCAAATCTGTAGAAAATAATTCAAATATACAGAAAGAACCTTGCTTAAGTATCTAAAAATTTGACTAGATACAGATTTGAATATATATTATATATTATTTAGTTATTAGACTGTCAAAACTTTTTGCAACATTACTTATCATGCTTGAATTTTTTATGTAATTACTTTGATGATACGACAAAATTATTTTCAAGTCTACACATTATTTAAATTTTTAGATACTTTAACAATATTTTTTTCCGTGTTTCACGATCCAATTTTTATGATAGATAAAAACTTGTTACTAAACTCTGGTGAAAATTTTTCTCAGAATTTTTCGTATAACTTTTCAGAATTTCTATATAATTTTTTATAACTTTTTCACATTTTTTGTACGAATTGGAACACTTCTTAGAAAATCTACATCTTCTCTCAGAATTTTTCATACATGTGAATTCTGAAATATTCTGAGATTTCTCATTCCATAATTTTTAAAAATATTTTTAAATTTTTTAGATTTTATAACATTTCATCAGAAATTATACTTACAAAAAAATTTTAGAAATCTTACGATATTTTATAATTAACTTATATGGAAAATTCCGAGTATTTCTGAGTATTTCTGAAAAATGTTCTAATTCGTATAAAAATTATGAGAAAAATTTTCATCAGGGAAGCTTTCACAAATATACAAGAATTTTTTCAAATTTTTATACAGTCCAAAGTAATATTAAAATCTGCACTGAAGTCCAGCTGTGTCGCTAACGGAAGATGCAAAATTCCACTTGGTCGACGGAGGGTTAAAGTTAATGACAATTACCATAACCTAACGTAAACATAATTAATTTGGATTAACATTGGACAGCACAGTAAAATTATAGCGTTATATATAAAACGTTAAGGATGAGACTGTTAAATTGTTTACGAGACAATCTGCATTGGCCGAAACGCGTGCTCGGCATCTCGAAACTATCCGCTTTCGAGTTTCTTAAAATCACGCATTCCGACTTATCGCATAATCAGCTATTAAATCAGTTGAGAAAACAAAGTATAGACCCTGACGAGATCCTCGCGAAGCATCATCGGCAGCTCACTTGCGAGAAAGAACTTGCGGGCATTCTACATAATCTCAACGTCAATTATCGGATTATGAAAAGGTAATATGCTTATGAACGAGTTACTTTGTAAGTTAACGAACCTGCCATTACCGTAGGGCTTTTTCTTCTCGGAATAGAAAATCCATGACATAATTTCTCGAGGTCGATGCTCCAATTTTCGATGAAAATCGCAAATATTGTTAATTAATTAAATTTAAAGGATAATTTATTTGTGATCGAATACAGAATAGATGACGCGAAATGCGTAGATTGGGCCGACCTGGTGATTACAATCGGCGGAGACGGCACCTTTCTCTTGGCCTCGAAACTGATAACGAATAATAAAACGCCGATATTCGGCATTAATCCACATCCCGGAACTAGTACCTTCACACTGCCGATTGAGTACAGCACGGACATCGAAAGGATATTTGAGAAACTGCATGCGGAAGATTACACCGTCTTGATGAGAAGTCGTATACGTACAGTAATGACAGGAGAAGGATTATATCAACAGCCCTTTCACGTTCATGAAAAGAGTCGCATGCAAAACGAAAAAAGAGTCGAGTGAGTAAATTGATTTATTTTCTTTGACAGTACAAACGATTAACGTAATTTTTTTCCATTCTATTAGCTAACGTATTCTATATTGAAAGAAAAACTTGCAATTTGAAAAAAATATTTCTCTCAAAGGAATATTTCTCTTAAAGAAATATCTCTCTTAAATCCATATCGTAACATTATTTATCTTGCTTTTCTTGTGCAGAATTGTATTTCACATTTTATCTGCAAAATTTCTCAGTATTTCTCTCAGAGATGGTCGTCATTTTCACTTGAGTCGTAGAAGCGAGTTGGAGTACGTTATAGAATAATAGTATTAATAAATCAAGCATGCTAAAGCGAATAGGGCCGAATAAGGCGAGAAAGGACTTACAAGGTTGGCGTCTTTCCTTTATTCGCAACTGGAAAGGAAGTTTCTTTGGAACGATATTAACGTAATACAAAAAGATAAGAGCTTGAATGCTTTTTGATAGTCGGAGAATGGTTTTGCGAGCACGGCTGCATAGCAAAACGAGAAATAACAAGGTTGACGGAATGGAGACGCATGCGTTCGCCGCGTGCGGGAAACCGGCGCAAGAAATGTATCGTACAATTTCGTTAGCCCGCGTGGATAGAGAAACATTAAAGCGCCGGTCGTGAGAACGACGTCCCGTGCTAAACTTTTATTTACCGGCTACTCCCACGACGCAGTCTAAAGTTGAAATAAGCAGCTGGTGTCGCCGACCCTCTGCGCCTTCGCGAGGACGTTGCCGTGCGTCTTCATTGCCCAGCCCGACTTGGCCCTCTTCTCGCAACCGAAGTTCCGAACTACAGCTTATGCGCGTTATAACTTCGGTAGTTATAACTTGTAAATTACAAGGCCCGCGTAGTTACGACTTGCGCAAGGAGGTCGTAACTTTTGAATTCGCGCGAATTTTACGGTGTGCGATGCGGAGCTTCTTAAAACTGTTATCGATTAACCGGAAAGACGAACTCTCGAAAAGAATTAGTTCGACGATTAGATTTAATTCGACATTTCCAACGGGAAACAATTTAACCGTCGTGCACTTGATATTCCATTACGTCTCCATGTAATCTCTCTTTCTCTCGTAAACTCGCTCTCGCGTCTCATTAATTCCTTTCGAGTTTCGCGACGTCTCTCTAAAGGTGCGCTAAACAAATGAAATCTTTGCAGCGCACTCATGAGATCCACTCAGAGGAAAATAGCAGATGCCCTGCAGCCCCGTCAGAGAATTTTACCTTGGCTGGCATTAAACGAGGTTACATCTGACGTAAAACATTTCTACGCCGGTCCGTTCGATAACATTCATCACGTACTTCCAGGTGTTCATGGCCGAATTTTTGGCATCGAGGCCGATCGTGTTGACGATTCAGGCAGATGAAGAGAAGAGGTTCATGATCCGTTCCTCGGGTATCTGTGTCTGCACGGGCTCAGGCTCTCGGTCCTGGTTCAGGACGATGAATTTGCAGACCGCCGAAACCGTTCAAACGCTTGTGGCCATGGCAACTGGCAGGCAACTTGACGAGAAAGAAACCCGCGAAGTGTTGCACAAGTATCACAGTAATCTTCTGTTTCCACCAGGTAACGAATTACAAAATTAATTCTTCCGAATCTCTTCAATAATATTTCTCCGAGTAGCCATTGAAGATTAATGGTAATACCACAGTTTAATATTTTATTAGGTCAATTGATATAGGTTTTTAATAAATATAGGTTGATTTTTAATAAAAATATTAAAGTGTAATTATTAAAACATCGAATATTTGTATTACAGACAATTTAAAAATGGCATATATGATATACGAAATGTCTCGAAGTTCACTCTGGCCAAAGATTATTTCGGACAAGCGAATGTGTTGCAAAATCAAAGTCAAGTCGACGGGTTTTGATGCCGGCCTTGTTTTAGATGGCAGCGTGTCTTTACCTTTCAATGATGGCAGCACCGCGTCCTTCGAGATTCGACCCGAATATTCATTGAAAAATATTATTTTGCAATAAATATCATCGTCGTTGTAACTCCACATCCTATTGTTGATAATTTCTTTCCTTGTCCGGATAGCTCAATTATACAAAAAGCTCTTTTAATTCAATTCTCAATAGAGGAAAAATAAAATAATAATCATGTTGTAATCACGCTTTTCTTTTATTTTAAAACTTCTTTTAGAGCATATCGCGTGTATTGATGAATTTCTGATGGCGTAAGACCGATGCGGACTAAAAAATCCTTCTGTCGAGTCTACAGATTTATTGTTAAGTTCTCTCGGTAACGACGGACGGCTTAGTACATTTTATTTTCAGCGAAAAAAGCGGACCACTCTTCTTCAGGACGACTTACAAAGTGAGACCCTTCACGATATTTCCCCGTTTCCTTCTTTAATACGCGACTGAACAAGCCTCGCCCCGGACTTCCATTAACCCCGTAATTTCCCCGAACCGCAGACACACCTAGTTGTATCTCAATGTTTCACGAGTGCCCACCTATCTACCTATCCAGCGTTCGTCTAAGTGCACTGTTACGCTCGGAGCAAAAGTTGTGAGCGCTCGAAACACGAGATATCGCACAAAGCCTTTAGATGGCCAGGTGGGCGCCGACGTTTTTGGGCGCAGCGTCGCGTAAAGTAATGGTAAAAGAGTTGCGAGAACGTAAAAGTCATGACCCATGTCCACTTCGTATCCGGAAACTTTAGTTTCACTGAAACTGAGAGACGACCGTCTTTCGCCAATTGCGCCTCGGAAGAATTTCAACAGCAATATTTCTCAATCGTTCGTATCACCTGTATAAATAGCAGCTTACGTTGGAACGAAAAGAAATCGAATCTATTTAGACTTAGGTCTGTTTGTCGAAGGAAGAAGATCTCGGTTTCTCTCTTTCGCGATTATTTCTACATGAACAACTGTTCCGAAATTTCAAATGCCGACAAATACAACTCATTAAACATTTATTACTTTATTTTAATATTTATTTTAATATTTATTTATATACCTATACTTATTTATCATCTTATTTGTCATTTTATTTTCCTTTATTAGTTTATTTAGTATTTAATGTTACGAGTATACTTCGGACGTCCGGAAAAAACATAATATTAAAGTAGTTCTTTAGTAAAGTGCCGAAAATTTGGGGTGCCTCACCAGAGCCCATTTAAAATCACAAATATCTACATAATTTGGATAAAATATTGAAACTATTAAATATTAAAAACGTATATATCTTAATGCAATAGTATATGAAACATACGATAGTAAATTAAGAGCTGCAAATTTACCAAACGAAAATAAAGTGACGTTATGTTTACTTTTCGAAATTAAATTTATATGCAAGTTTATGCGTGTAAATATCTTTCCAGAATGGCCATCGATCTATTATTTTTTTATCATTACAATCATAATTTTTTAAACTACTATAATTTCATTTTTTATAGAAGTCTAGTATGGCAATATTTGTGTGCAATTAGTTAAAGAAGCGTCTCCTTATCTGTTATTAAGTTATAAAAATTGCAATATTTTTTTTCTCTCATTTCATCATTAAATTCATTAACTTACTCTAAAATTTTGCACACGTCATTTTCAGTACTTCAACATCATTATAGAGAAATTAAATTTTTTTTTTATAGTAACTCGATTTACTAAAGAACCATCTTAAGCATCCTGAGTCGCTGCGGCCATATTGAATTGTGACGTCGTAAGTGAAAAATAACACGTTAAATTTTCTTTCATGTGATTTGTAAATAAAGAGAATGTGGATAAAACAAAATAATCAGGTCGCCCTTTTGATAATAAATAATCGTAAAAGGCGTGAAGTATCTTTTATTACCTGTTTATTGATTGTTACGATCGGTAAGAATAACTTTCGTCCATTTTTACAAGTGTTTTAAAACAATTTCATTCTTTTGTTTTATCCTCTTTATTTATAAATGACGTGCAAGAAACTTCAATGAAAGTGTCATTTCTCGTTTAATAACATCACGATCCAATATGCAGCGACTAACTCAGGAGCTTTTAACGATCTGAATGGGCTTCCCAATCGGATTTCGACGAATGGCCGAGCCATTCTCATTAATCCTTGCGAAAACCCCAATCTGTAAGAACAATGGTCATCCATCCCAGACAGTTTTCATGAAGGACAAACAAATGTACGGGTAACCGAGAATAACGGGGCTATCTTTTGTACTTCGTAATTGAACGTCGATGTCTTCTGCCGAAGTTTTTGACGGTGTCATCTCGACGAAGATTAGACGAAACGGACAAGAAAAAAAACCGCCGTGAATTTTAAGTGTTCCTCGCTATCATCCGCGAACGACCTATAGCTTTCGATTATGCGTTGTAATCACGCCTCTCTTTTATTTTAAAAACAATGCTTGTTACAGCGACAACGCGAGCAACAAATACAGCTTTGATATCGCCGATACAATATCGGCTCGTTATCGATATCACACAGCATAATTAATTAATAATTCTCTCGATATTACCGCGTAATAATGATTTAAAATGAACGCGCGCACAATAGAATGCTTTAACAATCAGTGATGCGTCATTACGATTATAAACATATTAATGAAGCAAACCGTTAACGCGGGATTACCGTTCACGGCGTGAAGGGACGCGCAATGCCCGAATTCATGCGCGAACGCGGTTACGCAGACGCGATATACGCGCGATATTATGTATACGTTTATTTATAAAATAAATAATACTTTCGATGAATATATACCATGTATTCGCGCGTGTAGGCAAACTCGCGCCGCGCTACGTGCTGCGTAATGGCAAAAATCAATATTATCACCGCGGATTCGCGGGTCGCGCCTCACCTCCACACCGCCGCACCTCGGCATCGCTCTGGCCAAAATCGTGCTGCTCTTCCTCTCGCCGTACTCCTCGAACCGTATAAATTCGTCAACCGATGACCGGTTTGCGGCCATTTTACTCTTATCCGAAGATTTAGTTTCCTTCGAACGGACGGTAGCGGTAATAGCAGTTCGCGAGATTTATTAGCGGATTCATGGGTAGGACGTTAATTCGTACCGAAGAGCTCGAGCAGTCGGGGAATCGAGCGAAATGGCGAACGAGAAAGAAGCGAACGAGAAGACGGAAAACGGGTAACCAGTGCAAGTGGCGCAGAGAGCCGTGAAAGGGGTGCAACGGAAAGAGAAGAACCGCCGAACCTACACATATATAAAGCGAACCGATGAGAGGCGGATTCGCGAGTGTGCCTTTTTGCGTGGCAACGCAAACGCTATCTCTTTTTTTTTCCTCCGGCTTTAATCCCCGCGCCGGTTGTAATTTGATCCGCCTTTGTAACGACCGCCACCGCCCACGCACCCTGTGCGTCCGTCCGCTTTACGTGCGGAAAAACGTCGCGCACGCTGGTGACCGCGGCAAAGCGTAGGCGGAATAATGACGGTTAATGAAAATATAAAAGGGCTAACGCGACCGAGAGCGAAGCGCGTCCGTGTCGGATCGAGAGCTGCGACGCGAAGTGGCGGAAAAAAGGGAAATAACGGCGGCGATTAATCGTTGCGTCTAATACGCTTTGATCGATCCACTTTGTCATCCCTTTCTCGCGTTTTCATTCGAAATGCGTAAAAATGGCTACTTCGTTGGGAGGACCATTTGCGTCGCTGGTTTATCGATATCGAGTATGACGGTAGCCTTCGTTATCGCAAAAAAAAAAAAAAAGAATTGAATCGTAAATAGTAAGAATTTTTTGTAGGAATCTCTCTATCTCCGACTATGCTAAAACTTATCATCGTTAGTACTTATGTCGTTAGCACTCGTCCGAGCTCTCATCTGCGAGCACCATTTTTATCACACTTATCACACTGTCATTCTCGTACTTCATACTTATCATGTTCATCTTATATATCACCTTATTTTGCTTTTATATTTTTTTTTCAACACTTATTATATTCTGTTTCATTTTTATTGCACCTCCATTCACGTTTCCCGCTCAAGTTGCTCACCATTTATTAGATCTATTTTCCGTCATATTTTTTAAATTCACTTTTTGTATGTTCTAAAAGAGTTTTCTCTAAAATTTTTGATAAACGCTTTATCTATCTATCTATATATAATATATCTATCCTCTCTATTTAATCCTCGATGTATACGCCCTCGGCAAGTCAATCCAATGGGACATTTCACGGTGGTGTTTTTCCCCGCGTATAAACGAGCTTCATCGTCAAATTTGCTTAGCGTATCAAGGGTCGTCACAGGCTCGACTGCCTACCTACATTTTAAGACTTTATACCCCGCGGAGATTTTTCAGCTGTGAAAAACGGCTGTAACGTGCGCTTTATAGTCACCGGGGTTACGTGCAAACGTCGCATCCCACGGGCTTCATAATTAGACGATAACTTATCGGGGAGGCGTTCGCGCGCGCTTACCACCACCATAGTCGGGGGTTATCCGTCGCGACCCCCTCGACGAAAGCGGAAAGGCGGACAAAAAGGTGGCAAATGCGGGGACGACCATCGAAAGACAGCGAGCACTCAGTGAGGTTCATTTCCCGTCTGTCGCGCTCGGCGAATTTCGCCCGGCAATTTGCCGAAGCGACGATTTCAAGTTTCCCTTCCGGTCGTCCTTCGTCTTTCCTCCGGCGAAGAAACGACAGAGGGAAACTCAATTACGCGATCGGCCCACGAATATTTTATACGCGCTATCGACACTCCCCAGACGATAAACGCTGTATTCGATATGGCTCATTTCGCTACTATAGAACCACGAAACCCGTATCCTCCACTCCCTCTCTTACTGTTAAATTCATGTCAAATTGTATTCAATATGGGTTATTCTTTATCATTTTTACAAGTCACCACTACTCCTGTTTAATATGTCGTTAATTTAACTAAAACAATGGAATTAAATAATTTAATTCAAGAAAGGCTATATTTAAGACTTAAATATAATTTATTATGTACTAAGTGCATACGTTAATGTTGAAATCTCAATCAGCGCAGCGTAATGTATGATAAAGACAAATTATTATAGGAATTAATATA